GGCTTAATGGACTGCCCACTAGTGGTACCTGACACAATTATGGCGGGTGCATGGGGTCGCCCTGAAGGAAATATGCCCTAGAGTAATAATAAGTTGTTATTTTATATTTCCTTATTCATGATAAATGTTTATTATTCATGCTAGAATTTTATTGACCGGAAACCTAAATACATGTGTGAATACATAAATAAATACCGTGTCCCTAGTAAGCCTCTACTAGACTACCTCGTTGATCAAAGATGGTTAAGGTTTCCTAACCATAGACATGTGTTGTCATTTGATAACGGGATACCATCATTAGGAGAATGATGTGATGGACAAGACCCATCCGTTAGCTTAGCATATTGATTGTTTAGTTTATTGCTATTGCTTACTTAATGTCAAATACATATTCCACCGACTATGAGATTATGCAACTCCTGGATACCGGAGGAATACCTTGTGTGCTATCAAACATCACAACGTAACCGGGTGATCACAAAGATGCTCTACAGGTATCTCCAAAGGTGTTTGTTTAGTTGGCATAGATCGATATTAGGATTTGTCACTTCGAGTATCGAAGAGGTATCTTGATGACCCACAAGTATAGGGGATCAATCGTAGTCCTTTCGATAAGTAAGAGTGTCGAACCCAACGAGGAGCAGAAGGAAATGACAAGTGGTTTTCAGCAAGGTAATATCTGCAAGCGCTAAAATTGTAAGTAACAGATAATTTGGTAGCATGATAATTTGTAATGAGCACGTAACGATAACGACAAATAATATGCAGCAAGATAGCCCAATCCTTTTGTGGCAAAGGACAAGCCAAAACAGTTTCTTATAATAAGCAAAGTGTTCTTGAGGGAACACGTAAATTTCATCTAGTCACTTTCATCATGTTGGCTTGATTTGTGTTCACTACTTTGATAATTTGATATGTGGGTGGATCGGTGCTTAGGTGTTGTTCTTACTTGAACAGACCTCCTGCTCATGATTAACCCCCTAAGGGGATCACAACATACATATTATCAAAATATCGAACACATATCAAGTTCACATGATTACTTGCAACATGATTTCTCCCGTGACCTCAAGAACAAAAGTAACTAATCAAAAGTGATAAACATGTTCATGATCAGAGGGGTATTAAATAGCATAATGTATCTGAACATATAATCTTCCACCAAATAAACCATATAATGATCAACTACAAGATGTAATCAACACTACAAGTCACCAACAGGTACCAATCTGAGGCTCCGATACAAAGATTGAACACAAGAGATGAACTAGGGTTTGAGAGGAGATGGTGCTGGTGAAGATGTTGATGAAGATTGGCCTCCCCAAGATGAGAGGATTGTTGGTGATGATGATGACAATGATTTCCACCTCTGGGAGGGAAGTTCCCCTGGCGGAATCGCTTCGCCGGAGGGAAAAAGTGCTCCTGCCCAAGTTCCGCCTCGAGACGGTGGCGCTCCATCCTGAAAGTCCGCTCCTTATTTTTTCTAGGTCAAAATGACTTATATACCAGAAGATGGGCACTAGAGGTGGGTCGAGGAGGACAGAACCCACCAGGGCGCGCTTGGGCTCCCTGGTGCACACAGGTGGGTTGTGCCCACCTGGTGGGCCCCCTTTGGTAGATATTTGCTCCAATAATTCTTGTTTATTCCATAAAAATTCCTCATGAAGTTTCAGCTCATGGAGTTGTGCAGAATAGGTAGGTTGACATAGCTTTTTTAGTTCCAGATTTCCTGCTGCCGGAATTCTCCCTTTTTGTGCGAACCTTGCATATTATGAGAGAAAAGGCATTAGAATTACTCCAAAAAGCATTATTATGCATAAAAACATTATAAATAACAGTAGGCAAACATGATGCAAAATGGACGTATCATATCTCTGGGCCCTCTCGGTAATACAAATCATAAGGAGCCTTGCAAGCAAAGTGACCAATGAGTTAGTTGCAGGATGATGTATTATAGTACGAGTAAAGAGACTTGCCAGTAATGAGATTGAACTAGGTATGAAGATACCAACAATCAAATCTCGGGCAAGTAACATACCGATGGACAAAGGGAATTACGTATGTTGTCATAACGGTTCGACCAATAAAGATCTTCGTAGAATATGTAGGAGCCAATATGGGCATCCAGGTTCCGCTATTGGTTATTGACTGGAGAATTGTCTCGGTCATGTCTGCATAGTTCTCGAACCCATAGGGCTCGCACTCTTAACGTTCGTTGATGATATAGTGACCGAATGTTTTTCAGAGTCCCGGATGATATCACGGACATGACGATGAGTCTCGGAATGGTTGAGAGGTAAAGATTGATATATAGCACGATGATATGTCTCCAACGTATCTATAAATTTTGATTGTTCCATGCTGTTATATTATCATTCTTGGATGTTTTACAATCATTTTATAGCAACTTTATATCATGTTTTGGGACTAACCTATTGACATAGTGCCCAGTGCCAGTCGCTGTTTTTTGCTTGTTTATTACTTCGCAGAAAATCAATACCAAACGGAGTCCAAACGCAGCGAAACATTTTGGAGAATTTTTTGGACGAGAAGACACACAATGGGACAAGGAAGTACCAGAGGGGGGCTTCGAGGGGAGCAAAACCCGTGGGTTGTGCCCACCTCGGCCGCCTCCCGCACTGCCTCTTTGCTCTATAAATACCCTGAAAATCCAAAAACCTAGGGGAATCGACGAAACACAATTCCAACCGCCGCAAGTTCCAGAAACCACATATCCAATCTAGACACCATCATGGAGGGGTTCATCATCCTCATTGGTGTCTCTCCGATGATGCGCGAGTAGTTCATTGTAGACCTACGGGTCCGTTGGCAATAGCTAGATGGCTTCCTCTCTCTCTCTCTCTCTCGATTCACAATACAACGGTCTCTTGAAGATCTATTTGATGTAACTCTTTTTGCGGTGCGTTTGTTGGGATCAGATGAACTTTGAGTTTATGATCAGATCTATTTTATCCATGAAAGTTATTTGAGTTTTGATCTCTTATATGCATGATTGCTTATAGCCTCGTATTTCTTCTTTGAATCTTTGGTTTAGTTAGGCCGAGTAGACCGATTTTTCTTGCCATGGGAAGAGGTGCTTTGTGATGGGTTCACTACAAGAAATATGTCAACTTGTGACCTTGACTATGTCAACTTGTGACCTTGACTATTGGTCACTGAAAGGTCATTGTTTCTCATTTGCGACCTTTTTGTGACAAAAAACAGAAGGTCAAAAGCTGGCGGTCGTAAACTGAAATTAACGACCTTCTCTGTGAGAAGGTCGTAGACGTTTACGACCAAAATATGCCTACTGGTTTGTTTTGGTCACTAGCAACCTCCCCAGGCTACGTAGGCATCCAGCGTGGCAAGCTGATGTGTCACAAGATTCAGCCCGGTCCAATTCGGCCTTCTACATGGGCCTAGCCCAACAATTCGGCCTTTATATATATATATATATATATATATATATATATATATATATTTCCTATGCTTTTATTAGCTACATGGGCCTGGCCCAAGAATTCGGCCTTTTTATTTTCTAGGCCATGGCCTTTTTTATTTTATTTTTTCCAAAAGACAAGCCCACTAGTGAGATGGGACCTAGTTGTCAGGTTCTAACAAGTGGGTCCCAGTTGTCACTGTTATATTCTTCAGATCTCAATTTTCTAGTAAATAAATAACAATATTTAAATCCGAACAGAGAGAAAACAAAATGCTTCAAACAGAGCACGATTAATCAGGAAAAATATGGTTCACATCACGAATACAATCAGAAAGAGCCAAACTTGGCACATTATTACAATCAAACTTGTTCATCCTGGTAACACAATAAGGATGGTTCATCCTGGTAACACATTATTACAGAAAAATATGGTTCACATTAAGTTTACAATAAAAAAATGTTCACATCAGTAACACAACTATCACAGTATAACTAGCTCCAATGCTTCTCCCAACTCGTTCATCCTGGACCTCACGACAAAACATGAATGAAGGCCAGCATCTGCAAGTTATCAAGAAAAATGGTTAGAACAAGCAAAATGCGACATTTTTACTATTTAAGCATAGAAGAACAGGGTCAACAACATTTCAATCTTTGAAAATGAACCAGGATTTCAATCTTTGAACAGCAAAAAATTGATATAGTAGATGATTTGCGGTTTAAAACAACCCCTAAGGAGAGACATGTTGACACATTCATTTGGCAACATCTGTAGAATTTGAACCTCATAAACATGCAATGTGGAATTTGTATCTCAAAGAAGTATACATACTTATCAGGTTTAATTAGCACATAAACATGCAATGTGCAATTTGTATCTCAAAGAAGTATACATACTTATCAGGTTTAATTAGCACACAGAAGCCAAATGCTAGTAGCTCATGATTAGTACACAAGACAGGATTCAACAAAGTAAACAAGAAGGTGGCTACAGTACAAAACTAAGCTCATCACACAGAATAAAATGATATTAAAAGTAAGCTCAGCATAAGCATATGAGTTTTTTGGCACCACTAGATCAAACATAGCAACTCCAATGTGAACAGTTTCAGCATTATTACCATATGTTTCCTTGGAATCATACTACATAGAGAAGGGTTCAGCCTTAAGTCTGAACTAGCCTTAAATGGTGGAGTACAAATTTCCTTCTGTACTAGTGGACGTTGATGGTGTTCCCTTCTTTTACAAAGGAGGACCCCACATGCAGTGGCTACATAAACAAGAAGTGTCAGCTTAAGTTGCAACCAGGAACAGAAACACTTGCAAAAATTCGGGCACTTGGGGTTTGGCAGGAGTACTACCTTGTGGATGTCGCCCATGATGTTTGAGAGGAACAAGAGCGCTTCGGTCAGGTTATTTGCAGTATTCCATGCAGAAAAAACATGGCATCTTCAGTACTAATTCAGTCAACCAAAAGAGATGTGTTGAAGTTCGTATGATGTAACTGAACATTACGTTGGCCGAAAGATTTAGAAGATGGTGATGGCGATGATGATCCCTAGGTGAGGAGCTGGGAGGTGTAGTTGTTGATGGCACCAACGACGCAGTGTACCTTGACGCCCTCCTCGTCCTTGCAGTCTCCTGAGACAACACACAAACCATTATGCTACAGTCAGTTTCAGTCCAACAAAACAGAGTGTTGGTTAATTGCTACGTACTGTTGTAGTAGTAGCTGCAGACGTTGTCGGGGACGTCCATGAAGTGGAGCAGCACCGACTAGTAGTACCTGAACCTGACCTTGTTGGCCCAGGAGCAGAGGCTGCTCAGGTTGCCGGCGGCGCCCGACGACAGCAGCTCGTTCACTGCCTTTGCCGCTGCGTCGCTCAGCCGGCCTTCCAAGGGAGCAGCATGGTGCATCGTGGTGCCTTCATCTGGAGTCGCAAGTCGGAGTTGTGGGCTGCTGCTTTGCTTCCCCATATAGCACACCAGGTTCTCCTAAGATAGCGAACTGAAAACACAAAACATGATTAGGGAGTTGGTACATAAGAAAAGGAATTCATGCACGAATGACATATACAACTAAAAAACAATCAGGCATCACATATTATTTGAATTTCATATTAGATGGCTGCACGGTAAGTGTTTCTTCATATAAAATAACTAGAATTAGCACCCAACAGGATCCATTCCATGCGCAGGATCCTTTGTATGTGGTTGCCTTTTTTGTTGCTTTATCACATATTCTGGCAGTAAAAAAAGCACTTCATTGTCTGAATCTAATATTCAACTAGCCCAAACTTGAACAACAGATTGGGCATAGCGTACTAATCAAGGAGAGACCTGGCATGCACTGACCAAGTCCTGCAGCATTTTTCAACATACAGAAATTTCTTTATGTCCAAAGAAGCCCTAAATCATTTCACTTCGTAATTAATTCTTTTTTTGTTGGAAAAAATAAATATTTTGCAGGCCACTTCTTCACTCTCGTTTCATCAGATGCACTGAGAGTGTCTAAACTTGATGACCATTTTCAGACCTATCCTTGAACTAAAGCGTATATTTAGTTGGTCTGGAAAAAGACCACGCCCAAATTTTGTAGATACAAAGTACCTCGCCACTATGTTGTGAAGTCACAGGTTGGCATGGTGTGAGAAGTATGCTCTGGCGGCACACGGCACGTGAACCTTCAATTCACTATTTCAGTTCTCAGTGAGGACATGCCTCTAATGCACTAGACAAAAGATAGGCCATCGACAAATTCAGCCTGTAATGGCAATCAGCACACACTTCTGGGACCTATTTGGGGAGATAAAAACTCTTTTGCGAACTCTCAGTGTGAGCAGCACACAAAATTGTAGGTGAACTACACATTCACGTGTATAAAGAAGAGGAGCCACTGAATTTTAATCATGAACAGTTAAACAAAATTGTAGGTGAACAACACACATAATCTTATGAAGTTTCTCTAGTGACTGAAAATTGTATTCTATATGTAGGAAAAAAACCAAGGCATTGCAATCATTCTCAATATGTACACAACAATGTATCCTTACAAAAACATCCTAACATGGATCATGGCTGCTGCCTACCATGGTAAATGCTAGACTCTCTCTAATGGTCTAAATCACGCCAGGAAGGTTACTTTATCATCACTACCTAGCCTACACACTGGAATTGAATTCCACATAGAAGCGTATCACCAGTTCACCGCATCAGATGCAAAACTACACTACATCCACGGATCTCTCACAGATCGGACAAGACAAGCACAAAAGGGGAGAGAGAGAGAGAGAGAGAGAGAGAGAGAGACGAAATTTACCTGTGTACTCTTCCTTGCCGGAGACGATCCAGCTCCCCTGGAAGCCCTCGTCGAAGGACTCGTGGAACAACTTCAAAACCCAAGCAAACCGTCACAAATCTCACCCCCACAACCCAAAAACGAGCGGCGAAGAACCGGACGCAGCGTCGGAGAGACCAGTTACCGAATCCGACGCGCGGGAGTGGGAGCGGGATGGCGGCGCCGAGGGCGGAGAGGTCGAGGGTGTCCTTGCCATCGCTCATGGCCGCTGGAGACTCGGGCTCCTTCCTCCTGCGCGGGCGGCTGCGGGGGAAGGCTGGGTGAGAAACCCTAGCTGTGGCGACGCGTTGGATGGGGTTGGGCTGCTGAGACGAGCATGAACTCGTTGCTGGTCCGAGTGCGGGTGCACAATGGGGCACCGGCGGGTGCGCCTGGGCGAGCGCGGGGCGCGGGGTGGCGAAGTGAGAGGCGAGGTTGGAGAGGTGGTACTGGAGGAAGGAGGAGGGGGCTGCCGTGGATCTGGCCGGCGACAGTGTTCGGAGGGTAGGGGGAGGGGGTCAAGGCCACCGGCGAGCGCCGGTGGGTGGCGACGAGGGGAGGGCATGGGAGGGATCTGGATCGGGGAGTGCTAGGGTTCGCTGCGCGGGGGAGAGAGCAGATCACGATGGGTTTTTTAGGGGTAGCTCGCGGTGGGTGGGAGGGAGGACGATGAGGAGCCCGATGAGGAGCAGGTCGGGGCGACGGCGCATCGAGATCCAGAGGGAGGGAGTGGGTTGGGGGCGGCGGCGCGTCGAGATCCAGAGGGAGGGAGAGGGTGAGAGCGCAAGGGTTCGCTGCGCGTGGAGAGAGAGGAGTGGTGTGCGGTGGGTTTTTTTAGGGGTAGATCGCGGTGGGTGGGTGAGAGGGTGAGCTGCGGGCCGTTGGATCCCGGAGCATCCGACGGTGATTTATCCGCGATCCGCGTGAGAGGCCCCTGGACCAATCAGAACGCAGTATACAGATATGATATTTGACCATTTAAATTGGTCGTAATCGACTAAAAGTAAGGTGCTAAATCATGTTAACTATTTTATTATAACCTGAAAATTTTAAAAAATCTTCTCATTATGTTAGCAAATTTGACTAGAGTTTTAAGGAATAATCACAAATTGAAATAAGACAAATATTTTTTAAATAAGTTATGAGAAATGAGTTTTTTTAAATCATTTTTTATTTTTCGAGTGTCCAAAATGAGTTCTTTTGTGAAGGACCTATAATATATTTGTTGCAAAGTTGGACCAAATTAATTTTCTAAAATACTAGAACATATTTATTGCACAATTGACCAAATGGTTGGGTGTAAAAAGTTTTGATCCACCTCTCGTGAAAAAGACAAATTTCTGCCGATTCAGCTGGAAGCGGGTCAAATTTGAACTGTAGCTACCTCGTAGTTTGCTCTTTATTTTTTCCTAAAATCATTTCTAGGTACATAAGTATCTATTTAATCAGAGAAACACCAAAAAAATTCCAAGATTCAACCACTAGCTAGGAACGGTCATTCCCGCCGTTCTGACCGCATTTTGAAACAGGCATAAAAAATTAAAAAAAAATCAAAAAAATTGGGAAACCTTCGCATTGTGTCTTTATATGTGGCCAAATTCCCAGGAAAAAATAAAAACTTGTAATACGGCAATTATTTTAAAAAAGTGTTCTCAGAAATGAGCTATCACGTATGGAGATCAATGGCTTTCAAGCCAAATGATCAATCTTATGGCCACCTTTATGGCATAGTTTGTTTGAATGATCTCATATTGTGCACAAGGGTGCATATTGGAATGGCAAACAATGTTGCCTAAGGAACTTTTCATTTTCTTTGGACGAAAAAACCATTTTCCATTTTTCGAGTGCCCAAAAGGAGGTTTTTTTGTGAAGGACCTATAATATATTTGTAGCAAAATTGTACCAAATCAATTTTCTAAAATACTAGGACATATTTAATGCACAATTGACCAAATGGTTGGGTGTAAAAAGTTTTTATCCACCTCTCGTGTCACACCCTAGCTAGTCATGCATTAGAGTGTTGCATCATGTTTACTCTTTCATCAGAAACTTGAAATGGGGATGACAGAACCCCCAGTCCCCTCTGAAACCAACTAGGGTTACTAAAATAATTTTTCAATGAACCTGAAATGCCCTTCTAAAATGCCCATCATTTTTGCCTTGGTTCAGAACCTCTGCCAAAAGTGGTGCACATTTTCCTAGGCCATCCTAAGGTTTTTGATTTAAATCATAAATATTTGAATTTGGGCATTTAAAATAATATAAAATATTTAAATGCTCAAATATCTCCAAACTAAAATGTTTCATGTTGGAAATAATCCAACTATGGACCAGGAGTAGTTTGGTGATTTTTGGAGTTGCCTAGGTATTTTATTTAATTCAACAAAGTTGCAGATACATTAAATAAAAACAGAAATAGAAAAAAAAGGGGAAAACTTACCTGTGTGGCCCAGCCAGCTGGCCGGCCCAGCTAGCCAGCCCAGCCCACCACCGCCGTCGTCCTCCTGGCGCCAGTCGGCCAGGCGTGTGGCCGGCGCGCGCGCACGGCCACCGCGCCACGCCACCTCTCTCCCTGCCTGCCTGCCCCCCCTCCTCGTTTTGGTGTCCCTGGACGACGCCACGCCTCCTCCCTGCTCTCTCTCACTCTCCCCCCGGCTCTCCCTCGCTCTCTCTCTCGCCCGGCCGAACACCACCGTCGCCGCCGTTCGCCTTAGCCACCGTCTCCGACCACCCCTCACTCCCCCGACTAGCTCAGGAGCTCCGCCTCGACTCCCTCTTCCTCCCCACCGCTTCACAGCTCCCCGGAAGCCCTGCATCGCCGCCACGTCACCGTTCCCCTCTTCGGACTCCGACCACCGTCGCCGTCGAATTCGCCGTCTCCAGCGCGTCCCCGAGCCCGCTTCGACGCCCACTGCAACCGCGGTGAGCTACGCCACCGTTTCCCCCTCTTCTCCCCCTCGTTCCCTCACCGTAGCCTCCTCCCCACCACGGCCGAACCTCCGCCGTCGCCGAGCTCGCCGTCGACGCAGCTCCGGTGACCATTTGGTCACCCCGGCGAGTCCAACGAGTTCGCAAGACCCCGTAGAGCATTTCTAGCGCCTCGCTTTGCTCGACTTCGAGCTCCAGCACCGTTCCCGTGCACGACCGAACCCCGGCGGCCGCAGCCGAGCTCGCCGCCGTCGACTCCGGCCACCCCGACCCCAACGGGCTCCGCCAAGAGCTGCGGGTTGTCCTCAGCTCCACTCCGGTGGCCTCCGCGGTCCATTTGGTGGCCGAAACGACCAAAACCACTTCCGCCGCCGCGTCGGGCTCGCCGGCGACTAAACGCCGGCAGCCGACATTGACTTTGACCACGGGTGGGCCCTGGTTGACTCCCCTGAGTCAATGACAGGTGGGGCCCAGCCCTGTTAATTAAACAGGATTAGTTTTAATTAAGTTTTAATTAAAATAATCACCCTGACATGCGGGACCCACTGTCAGGTTTGACCCAGACCTGTTCCATTGACCTGCTGACGTCACACTGACGTCAGGCTGACGCAGTAATTGAATTTCTGGATTTAAATTAAATCAGGAAATTCCA